GGAACCCAAGGTTTTAAAAACAAATGCTAAAAATTGTTTTCATATGCAAGTGGGAAATAAGATATACAGGCAATGGGGTATAGAAATCTATCCTACCCTACAGGAAAATAGAAGAGGAAGGGGATAAGAGAAGAGGGGGAGAGAAATATTTATTTCGATGCAAATAAAGTCAGAGCTAAATAATTGGAAAAACATCAGTTACTCATGGGTAGGCTGAGCTAATATTCTAAAAATGAAAATTCTACCTAAACTAATTTACTTATTCAGTGCCATACCAATCAAACTACCAAAAACTATTTTATAGAGCTAGAAAAAGTAAAACAAGTTTCATTTGGAAGAAGAAAAGGTCCAGAATATCAAGGGACCTAATGAAAAGAAATGCAGGGGAAAGTGGCCTAGCTGTTCCAGATCTTAAATTGTATTATAAAGCAGCAATCATCAACACTGCTTGGTACTGGTTAAGAAATAGAGTGGTGAATCAGCAGAATAGGTTAAGTATGCAAGACACAATAGTCAATGACTCTAGTAATCTACTATTTGATAAACCAAAAGACCCCAGACTCCGGGATAAGATCTCACTATTTGGCACAAACTACTGGGAAACCTGGAAATGATATGGCAGAAACTAGGCATAGACCAAAATGTCATACTATATGCCAGAATAAAGTCAAAATGAGTTCACGATTTAGATATAAAAGCTGATATTATAAGCAAACTGGGAGGGCAAGGAATAGTTTACCTGTCAGATTTATGGAGAACAGAAAAATTCATGACCAAACAGGAGATAGAGAACATTACAAAATACAAAATAGATTTTTGATTACATTAAATTGAAAAGTTTTTACACAAGCAAAGCCAATGCAACCAAGATTAGGAGGGAAACAGAAAACTGGGAAAGAATTTTTACCAGTGTCTGTGATAAGGGCCTCATTTCTAAAATATATAGAGAATTAAGTCAAATTTATAAGAATACAAGTCATTCCCTAATTCATAAATGGTCAAAGGATATGAACAAGCAGTTCTCAGATATAGAAATTAAAGTCATCTATAATCATATGAAAAGAATGCTCTAAATCACTATTGATTAGAGAAATGCAAATCAAAATAACTTTGAGGTACCATATCACACCTATCATATTGGCCAACATGACAAAACAGGAAAATGATAAATGTTGGAGAGGTTGTGGGAAAATTGGAACACTAATGCATTGTTGGTGGAGTTGTGAACTGATCCAACCATTTTAGAGAGCAATTTGGAAGTATGCCCAAAGAGCTATAAAACATACATACCTTTTGACCCAGCAATAGCTCTTCTAGGGCTGTATCCCAAAGAGATCACACAAATGGGAAAAGGACCTACATGTGCATAACAGATTTTTAACCTCCTTTTAAAATAGAAGTTAAAGTATAAAAATGACAGACCAGGAAGGTAATAAGCATGTATATAGTACCTACTCTGTTCCAGCATCCCTGCAAGCCATGTGTTATTATTATCCCCATTTAATAGGTGTGTAAACTGAGGCAGACAAATGGTGACTGTCCAATGGCCACACAGCTAGTAAGTATCTCAGCCTGGATTTGAACTCATCTTCCTAACTCTAAGCCCACTCAGTCTTTCTATGGTGCCACCAACTTTCTCTAGGGAATTGATACTGAAGATAAATAAAAGATTAATTTAGTAAGAAGGAACCTAGCTGTCTATGATGCACCTTGGTCATCCACCCTAAATTAACTACATCCTCAAGTTCTGAAAGAACCAGCAGATGTGACTTTGAAAGACTTTGGAATAGACACTTGATACTTACTAGCTGTGTAATCCTGGGTAAGTCACTTAACCCTAATTGCCTCACCAAAAAGAAAAAAAAAAGACTATGGAAAATAGCAAAAGAAAAAGAATTTTTAAAAAAGGGAAATAACAATATCACATGATTGGAGAAGGGTATATGTCCTGATTTTCTGAAAAGGGGAAAGGATAGAGTGTGAAATTACAGACCAATGAGCTTGACTTTTATTCCTAGGAAAATTCAGGGACATATCATTTAAAAGATGGTTGGTGACTATCTAGAAAGGGAAGCGGTAATTGCACAAAATCTGCATGGCTTCCTAAAGAACAAGTTATGGCAGATTAAGCTCATTTCCTTTTTTCACACGATTCCCAAACTAGTAGATGAAGGTAAAGCTGTGGATATATAGTTCAACTGGATTTTAGGAAAGCTTTCGATAAAGGATGCCATGTTATTCTTGTAGAGAAGAAGGAAAGTTAAGTATCGGACAATAAAAGAATCAAAGCAATTCAGAAATAGATGGCTGGATTTTAAGAGTTTAATGGCAATATGGTAGTAAATCTCCAGTGGAATATGCTGATCTGTGTTTGCTTCTGTTTTATTTAATGTTTTCCTCAATGACCATGAGAGAGGTGTAGATGGAATGCTCTTTAATTTGTAGATGACAAAAAGGTAGGAGGAAGAATTAACACAATGAATGAATGAATGAATGAAGATCCAAAATTCTAGAGATAATTGTGCAGCCTTGCACTTGAGTAAAGTCAGCTTTACAAGTATAAAGTGAAGAGGCATAGATACACAACAGTTGTTCTGAAAAAAAGATCTTGTTGTTTAAATGGACTACACACTCAATATGAATCAACACCAAGTTGTGGAAGCTAAAAAAGCAAATACAATTTTGATCTACATTAAGAAGGGCATGACTTCCAGGAATAGGGAGGTGACAGTCCCACTGAACTCTGTCATCAATATGTATTGTATGGTGTATTGTGTTCAGTTTTAAGTGCCATACATTAAGAAGGAGATTGATAAACTGGAAAATGGATAGAGGAGGACAACTAGGATTGTGAAAGGACTTAGATCAATGACATATGAGTATTATTTGGAGGAACTGATGATGTTTAGCCTGGAGAAGAGAAGATCCAAGAAAACATAACACTTGTATTCAAGTATTTAAAGTGCTCTCATATGGAGAAGGGATTACACTTATTCTGTTTGGTCATAGAGGTAAGAAGCAGGAACACAAAATAGCTGTCACAAAGAGCAAACTTCAGGTTTGATATCTGAAAATACTTCCTAACAGTCAGAGATTTTCAAAAGTATAATAAGCTGCCTCCAGAAAAGGTGGGTTCCCCTTCCTTGGAGGTCATCAAATTAAGCTTGGATGGCTAATTTTCAAGCATATTTTAGTGGGGATTCATTTCATGTATGGATTAGACATTGTGGCCCACTAAAGTCCTTCCAACTCTCAGCTTTTGTGACTCTGATTTCTATGATTCTAGACCACAGTATCTGAGAATTTAGACTTCAAATAGATAAAGGAGATTTCTTAGGCAATGGCAATCCTGAATGTCTCCTCAAAAACAATTCTCAGTGGAAATGAATAGGACCTATATAATAAGGAGGTGATTTCTTTTTAATGAATGGATAAAAGATCACTTTGTAAATAATTACTATATGCCAAGCACTGGGGATACAAAAATAAAAATGGAGACAGTCTCAGCCCTCAAAGAGCTTTCAGTACCTTGATTCAAGGTTTATACCACCAAGGGGGAAGCTAGGTGGCACAGTGGATAGAGCACTGGCTCTGGATTCGGGAGGACCTGAGTTCAAACCTGGCCTCAGACACATAACACTTACTAGTTGTGTGACCCTGGGCAAGTCACTTAACCCCACTGCCTAGCCAAAAAAAAAAAAAGGATTATACCCCCACAATTCCAATGAAATCTAAGAAGAGAAAAGAACCCTGAATCTAAAATAATTAAATCCTCACCAAGATGAGGGTAGACAGCAATATCCCAAAGTATACACCATTTGGTAATCACATCAGAGAGTCAAATTACCTTGTGCTTTCTCCCATTTATCCTAACTACCCAGTCTCTATACTCCTCTTGTATGCCAACTACAGTCAACACAAACAATCTTACTGATTCTGGCTGTCATGTCCTCTGCTTAGTAATTTCATGACAGTATTTCAGACTATTGCTTTTCTCTCCACAACACACACAAACTACAACAGGTAGAAAACATGATTTCTATTAAGCAATATGACAAAAAAGGAGGCACAATTCACTGGGGAAGGGGAAAATGGTGCAATGCAGACCTGACTAAAGAGGAAGAGGTTTCCATGCCTGAGGGAAAGGCTTCTATTAATTTGTGGTGAGTTTTCTCCTAGAAGTTTTGTTAGAAGGCAGGAACTAGCTAGGCTTTCACAATCCCCAACTGAAGAAGTATGAAATTGGTCAGTCTCAAGAAGTGTATGAATATCATGACAATAGAAAGAGAAGGTTTCAAACTATGAAGTGGAGCATATCAGACAAGTTATCCGGAATGTGTGGTGAGAATGGAACAGGCTCAAAAACAAACAAAAACATCAAGAAAGAAGAAAACTGGGTATAAGACAGATTCCAAGTAGATTAACCAAACATTAGCCTCCTAGAGACAGAAAGAAAAATGAATAAAACTTCCTTCATTGTGCTTCTAGATTTTCCTACTGTGTTACTCTAGGTGTTCTTACCCTGGGCAATTTAATATATGCCTTTGCTTTATGTTAAGTGTGTCTACTGGCTAACTGTTGAAGGTAAGGACACCATCAGAGACTTGAGAGCTAGTTGTGGGAGAATAGTTCCACAGAACAGCTTTTAGCACCATTGAGACCAATTACCTCCCTGAGCATTCAATTTGAAATCCTTAAAGTACCAGTCTAATGCAGGGTGGATGGGAGTGGGGAGAGAGAAGATAGCCTAGAAGGGGTATGAGGCTGTAAGTAAAGACTCACTGGATAAATGGGTGCTGTATAAACATTAATAAATATCATATAAATACTAAAAGTATTAACAGCATGTATAGGTAAAATTCTGTGAGTTGGCAAATTGCATAACCCTGACAATACCTCCTCCTGCTACTGCTCTGCAATCCCTACCCACCTCCATTAGATACTCTAAATTTATTTGGGACACAGTGTATGAAATTAATCATTTATTAGACATTTGCAGGCAAGAGACCTGCCTGTGATAAGGCAGGGCAGTGAGGGGAATAGCATCCCCCTTGAGTTTGGAGGAGAGAACAGAAAGCCAGTAGAAGTCTTCAGCAACCATACTAACAATTCTTCAGAGGAAGCAGGAGTGGTTTGCAAAAACACAGGGATGTTTCATCCTAGGAATTCCTGTGAGACAGTGAAAGAATCCTGGTTATATAATATCACAAAGTGACTTAGGAATTGGAAGTAAGAGGTAGAGCTTGGAACAAAAATGAAAAATTCACATGCTGGAGGTAAATTTGGCTCATAAGAAGGTAGCTAGGGAAGCATAGACTTCAGGAGATTCAGTAAAATTATCTGAGGTGAGTGGGAAACCCATTGAGAATGAAAAGCAGCCAGATAAAAATCCTTATTCCTATAACCCTAAAGCTAGGAAATAAAAATAGACAACTACAGGTGTTTGAGAAGCACAAAATTTTTTCTTGAATTAGATGGATGCATTTAATGGATTATATTGAATGGATTACAAATCCAAATTGACTCTAATCACCATCCCCAAACCTCACCTGCATACTTATCCAATTTCCTAACACTATCTCAGTTCCTTGGTTTGATCCCTTTCTATACCTTCCCTGCAAAGTTCCATCCCTCTGATCATTCCACATCTTCATATTAATCTCATATATATCAACTTTTGGAAGGTAGAGAAAGAGGAAAAAGAGAATGTGAATCACCCTCACTTCCCCACTTTAAGCACTTGCTTCACCAGAATTTGTCTGGATGACCAAGGAGAAGTCAAGCACTGCTGAGGACTCTTAACAGCACCTGAAATCTAGTAGGGTCTCACAAACTAATCTACATTGATCCCAATTTATGCAGTTGAAGACCAATGCAACTTGGTGCAGTTTTCTAAAGAAATATGACTCTTAGGCAATAATCCCATAGTCTAAGATAACAAACCTGTATGCCAGGATGAACTTCCTTAACGAAGTTTCTCACATCGATCTGTGGAGACAAAGGAAAATATCAGTGATTCTCAGACATGAATCTTTCTCAAAGCTTTTTTTCCCTATCCTAGAAGAAAGGGAAATAAGATTGTCTGTTTGAGGATAAGGGGAGTCAAACTACTGGTGTTTCTATTCTACAGAATTCTTTCCCCCTAGTCCCACGCGGAAAACGAGAAATAAGAAACAGAAATGAGCAGAGCTTACCATCATTGTACAAGTCTCTAATTTGATCTTTCCCAATTCCAAATCTTTCACATATTTCCTCAAATTTCTTCTTTATCTCATCTGGCAGATCTGGAGTCCGGCCTATAGTTAGGGTGAAAGTGAGAATGGCTGCTAAGTTTCTCTTACTGATCACTTTCAACAATACATAGAAAAAGAGATGAATGTGAAGTGCAATCTACAGGGGAAGGGGCCTTTGATCTGGGTAACTGAGCTAATAACTTTGGGAATTGGATCAATCATATGCCCCAGGATTTGTTGAACCTATTAATAAAGGAGGAAAGAGGATTCCCTGTTGATTATCATTAAGTCAATTAACAAGCATTTATTAAGCCCCTACTAGATGCCAAGTTCTATGTGAGGCATTATTGTTGCAAAGAGAAAGGAAAGCTGGCCTTTTTTCTCAAGTTTACAGTCTACTGGAAAGAAACATCTTCACAAATAAGTAAATGCAAATGTGACCCCCTGTTACAAGGTCCAAACATCTATTACATAAGAATTATGAAAGATAAATACAAAGTAAATTCTTATGGCAGACAACTACTATCTGGAAGAAGTTCTTTTAAGGGTTATGGCACTTGAAATGAGCCTGAAAGGGAACTAGGGAATCCAGGGGTGGAGATGAAAATGTAGAGTAACCCTTAATGGGGGAGCAACTGTCATCACAGAGACTGAGAAAGACTGGGAGGTATGAGGAGCAAATCTGGGTTGCCAGGGCCTTGTGATACAACAATGGAGAAAAACATAGGACAGGATTGCATTACTGAAACCATTAGAATTCCTGAGATTTGAACTGCTGATTACTCATCTTCCTTCTCCGTGTTTCCTCCATGTCTCTCAAGAAGAAACACATAGGGTATCACACTCTTACCTGAGGGTGGTCTGCCCAAGAGAATGTAAATTTTAATCTCTGAAATTTTTTGTTTTTTCTCTTAAATACCAGCCTGAACCCCAATTCACTCTGGCTCTCATTGATTGGCCAAAAATAGGTCCCAGGCCAAGCCTTACTTGGTCGTTGTTTGGGCCCTGATTGTCTCAGAATGAATGTAAACAGTAATTGTTTCTGTTTTGGCCAGAAACTCTGAGGATCTTCCCCTCCCAGATCTTTTTTTTTTAAAGAGGCCATTCTTTTCCTCATTTCTTATTAAGCCTTAATCACTGAATAGGTGTTGCCTCAGTCAAACTGAGACCTCTTAAAGACCGTAGCTTGAAAAGGCCAAGGTCCCCCACTGCATCCTGGGACCTCTCCAGGTGTCCTGATCCATATCCGGCCACTGGACCCAGATGGATGCAAGGAGAAAGTGAAGCTGGTGACTCTGCACAGCTTTCCCTCACTGTAATCCAATTTACCTGAATATCATGGTATCACCTCCCTGATGTCATGGTCCACTTCAAGGACGAAGGACAAACAGCAGCCATAGTAGCACCCAAAGAGGAGTGTATCCTTCCCTAAGTTTATTTCTATCTCTTAGGAAATTTGCTCTTTCTGCTTATCTGACTTTAAAATCTGATTTTTAATCATTCTATTACCAACCTACATGTGTCACTCCATGAGTACAGCACAAAATGACAATAATGGAGCACCCAGGAGGGAAGAGAAATAGATTTAATGGTTCAATATTAGGCCAGAGGCCTTCCACCCCACATTTCTTTTAGTAGCAAGAGGCTTGGGGTGAATAACAGAGAATAATTAATTCATATTTACCATTTTTGTAGAGCAGAGAGAAAGATTTACACTGGGACCTCTCTCTGTCTCTCTACCTATCTTTCTCTGTCTCTCTGTCTCTGTCTCTCTGCCTCTGTCTCTGTCTCTCTGTCTCTGTCTCTGTCTCTCTCTCTCTGTCTTTGTCTCTCTGTCTCTCTCTTTCTCTCTCTTTGTCTCTCTGTCTCTCTGTCTGTCTGTCTGTCTGTCTCTCTCTCTTTCTGTCTCTCACCATTTATTTGTGCCAAATACTATTCTAGGTATGGATATGAAGAGAAAAAAATAAATAGACCTGGCTCTTGCAAAGCTTGAATTTTACTGAAGGCTCAGAGCTGCCTTCAGACAATACTGAAAGAAGCTCAGAGTGGACAGTTTGCTGTACTGGGGAGCTTTTATTTTCTTGGTGATCTCAGGCATGTAAATTGTAGTCAAACACAGTTTGGGCCACCCCCAATGCTACAATGCTTCAACTTGTTTTCTTTAGCACTCTTACCAAGTAAAAGAAAAGAGAAAGAGTGTTAGTGCAAGATCATAGGATACATACCAAAGAGTTCTCCCCAAATAGTCACCTCTCCATCTTTGATATTATATAACATAAATATTGAATATTCATCATCAAAACTTTCAAGCGAAAAATCATTCAGTCCATCATCTGTGAAGCATTCCAAAGGTCAGGTCAGGATTTTGAAATTACAGGAAAAAAGGCAAAGACTTGAGACTTATTAGTAGTTAAACTTCATGCAAAGCCCTTTTCTAGGGCGTTCTGGAAACTTCAATTCTGTCATGAGCTCTGTCATTCCAACCAAAATGCAATTATGTTGACAGACCTATACTTTTTCATCATTCCTCTTATCTGCCTCTAGAGTCATAAAAAGAGAGAAATGTTAGGAACTTTGTAAACCATCTGGTCTAACCACCTCACTTTATAGATGGGGAAACTAAGGCCAAGGGAGGGCAAAACACTTGTGCAAGGCTACACAGTGAGTTAGTTTCATTTCAATCACATAAGAACTAATCAGACCCTATAGCTTTATAAGGAAAAAGTGAGATCAAAGAGTCTGATATAGGCTTTGCACAGTGTAGTCATGATGGAATTAAGACAGGGTAGTGGAATGGACATCTGCAAAAAGACATTTTTTGTATAGTTTCTGACCATTATCCACTTCTTTGCTTCACGGGGTCCATTAATTCATTTCAGACTAATACTGAAAAACGTAGAGATGGTCATTTATACTTACAGTGCACAAGATTTGAACCATCTTCTTTTGTGATAGCAGTCACAGAAAATGGAATGCATTTGCCATTTTCCCTGGAAATAAAGATTAGGATTACAAGAATACCTCATTTTTGCAAAGGAAATTTTACTAAGAAATACGCTGATGCATAAATTTTATTGATTTTAATTTTATCTACAAAAATGTGTACTTTTTTCATTTCTTACAATAATATTATAAACAATGCTGAATCTAAGGTGACTTCTAACTTCTTAAAAAGGATTAAATTGAGGTCACCATTTAAAAACTGTTAAATAATTTTAATTAAATTTGAATTCTTTGAAAATCTGGAATCTCTGATATGGTGAGGAATGGTGGTATTCAATACTTGATTTGACAGAAGAGCTCACTCTTTAGTAGTTCTGCATAGAAATACTTTGGGATAATCACTAGGCTTTCCATAAGTCAACTGAAGTTGGATCTGGGTTCAAATGCTGGTTCTTCCCCATAACTGTGTAACCCTGGGCAAGCAAGTCTTATCACCTCTCAGAGAGTTAAGTTCTCACCTCCAAATAGGGATATTAATGTTCTTTCTTACTCCATAAGCTCATTGTGGAGAAAACTTATAACTTCTTTAAACTGAAAGAACTAAACATAAATATGAACTTTTTATTGTATTTATACTCACAACATCTCAGGAGAACAAATAGCAATTGTCCCAATTTAATCAATAAAACTGAAATAATGTAAACTATTTCATACTCTTAAAAAAAAACACTAGATCAGGAAAAAAGACAAGACAAGAAAGAATCAGAGTTTGGTAACCCAAAAACTTGAAATACCTAGAAAAGAACTTCGTAATTGGCAAAAATTTCTGGGGGAAAAAGGTGGTCCGGCAGAGATTAGATTTAAGACAATGTTATATTGTAAATTTCTACCAATACTCAAAGAGATGTATGGTTGAATATTAATGGTCATAAAAATAAGCAGAAAATCATCTTAAGCACCTTTCATGAATATACCTAGAAAGAAATTTTCTGCTACCTGAAACTGAAAAGCTTTTGTTTGAACAAAATAAAATAACTAGGATAAGAAAGGAAGCAGTTAGTTGAGAAGAAAAAAAATCCTTATGTCAAATACACCCGAATTTAAGATACTCAGAACATAAAGGTAACTAATAGCAACATATAAGACCCAAGCCTCTTCCCAATAGAAAAATAGTTGAATGATATAATAATAATAATAACATTTATAAAATATATATTATGTGCCAAATATTGTGCATAGAATTTTACATAAATTACCTCATTTGATCACCATAACAAACATGAAAAGTAGGTGCTATGATTATTCTCATTTTACAGATAAGTAAACTGGGGCAAACAGGCAAAATGACTTGACTAGAGTCACACAGCTAGTAAGCCTCTGAGGCCAAACTTGCAGTCAGGTCTTCCTGACTCCAGGCCCAGTGCTCTCTCTACTGAGGCACCTGGATGAACTGACTGTCAGTAATAACAAAAATTTTCAGAAAAAATTACAAACTGTTAACAACCAAAGGAAAGAATGTTCTGAACCACTAGTAATATGAGAAATGCAGGATTTACCTCTTCTCCAGCAAATTGACATAGATGACCAAAAAAAAGGAATAGTATTATAATAGCTAGACAAAGATAAAACAAATCCATTGTTGTTGGAGCTGCAAATTGCTCTAATTGGTTTGTAAAATCATTTGAAATTATGTTAAGAAAAGGACTAAAATGTCCACTCTCTTTAACCCAGAGATCCCAAGGCTAACTATATATCTCAAGGAGGCCAATAAGTAAAAGAAAGGCCCTTTATTGAGAAAAATATTGATAGCACTTTTTGGAGTAGGAAAGAACTGTAAGTAAGTTGATGCTCATCAACTGGGGAATATATCTTTCTTCCCTCTCTCTCACTCTGCTTTCTGTCTTCTTAGCAGAATGGGCCTCAATTATCCTATCTCTACTACAAAATGAAGACTGGTGACTTAGGGAGGTTTGGAACAGAAAAGAAATATTTCCCCCAAAGAATAATTCAAAAGATCAAAACTTCACATAAAAATACTCTTAGTAAGTATTGCCCCTCACATTGCACATAAGCTTCAAGTATGTGTATAGCCCATTAATTTCTTTTTCCTTGATTGGTTGCCCTTAATGTTCATAAAACCAATCACATCCTGGGAACTTCATCATTCATTGACTCCTGGCTCAGCCTGTATGGGTTAAAGGATCCCAGAACTATTACCCAGGTTTGGTTTGCATTTCCACTTACCTTTTGAAGAAATCTGCAGTAAGAAAACCATCATATACTCTGATATTGTAGACAAATATCCGCAAGCTACCTCCTTCCTCTATCTTAGATGTCACATTTGAGGCCAATGCAACAGTGAACCACTTTCCATCAAGCTGTGGAAAAGAGTTTGGATGAGAATAGAAAAAAGGCGTCTCTGATCACATAGGCCCGTAGTCTCTTTAAGATGGGAATGACTGTAGTCTGAATCCCTCATTTTTACAAGAGAGGAAACTGAGGCCTTAAAGGTATATTATATCTTTACACTAATCCTACTTGGCTCACACGTTATCTTCATAATATAGTGAAAAGTTCATGAGACCAGGAGTTAGGAAATTAGAGTTCTGGTCTGGCTCTGATAGTAATTACTTTGTGACTTTTGGCAAGTTATTTCACCTTTCAGGGTCCCAGTTTGCTCATTTATCCAATGGGTCTAAATATATTTGCACTGAGTGGTTAATGGCATTTTCTAGTGATAACATTATTTTCTTCTCCTCTTACTATGTATCTTGGACTTAGGCATGACTAGTAATTTCATCAAGTATTTGGGGATTAGGGAGAGAGATTGCCACAGGAACACCACAAGATCCCTGTTGGTGTTTTAACACTAATTCTCCCTTATCACTCTTGAAAGAATTGTGTTTATTCTATGATTCTAATCCCTTATGGTCCCTCTATTCTGCCTGGATGTGAGATAACTCCTTATCGCAGAATTCATATGGCATCTAATCCTAGCACATATGTAGAATAAAAGCCCTCAAGTTACCATCTGAATACTATCGCCAACATTGTTTTAAATGGCAGGACACAGAAAAGAAGACTTGCTTGGATTTATCTTGTCATATACTATTGCAATCAGATGCGGAGAGGATAGGTTTCAATTGCAATATTTTTTTTTTCTTTTTTGAAGGAATGGCATCTCAGGATTTCAGGATCTTAAAAACTCTTAGAGCTCATCCCGTGTAACCCTTCATTTGTCAGATGCAGGATCTGTTCTATGAGTTTATGCCGTGATGAATTAGAGTTTTGCGGGTATTTTTTATTCTATTTATTTAAAAGAAATAGGTCATGGGAACACACTCATGTGTAATTTGATGTTTTCTTCTGACTTTAATCATTGCTAGACTACACAACTATTGGGAATGACAGTTTTGAGTGAGAAGGCACAAATGCACATTTTTTCCTTTTAGCTGCAAGCTATTTTTGCTTTGTTCTACCCAAAGATGTTCTGTTTTCCTCACCCATTACCCTCACACCTTTGCCAGGCCACTCTATCATCCTGTTTCCATACTTGCTCACTTACCTTTGGTGAGCCTTTTGCACTGTTATCGAGGCCCTGGAGGCCACAGACCAGGCCCAGCCCCAGGGTCAGCAGTAGAATCTTCATCTTCTGAAGGGTTTGTCTTTGACATTTCAGCAGCACCTGAATGCCTGAGAATTCTGATGAATACTCTGGCCCTCTGGGTCAGCTGCCTTTATACTTCCTTCTGGGGCAGGGCTCCTGATGATGTGGCACGAAGGGGACACTAATCCTTCAAAGAATACCTTATTCAGAGTCACTAGCCAGTGAGTAACTGCTAACCAAGGATTCCAAGGACACATCAGTAAATAATTTTTGACAGCAAAAATTTGGCAGTTCTGAAATGCAAATTTCCAAGATCAACAGCCAATGTTAGGTTTGGCCAGCTTCTTCAGATCAACTCTATATCTTTCCCAAGACCAGATAGTACAGTTCCTGTGTGTTTGTCCTTGTAGCAGTCAGGTAATTAACTTCTGAGAATGGATTGCTCTGAGGTCACCATTTTAAAAAGTGTTGACTCGTATCTACAAAGCACCTAAACTACATGCAGTCTTGTCTTAGATAATGTAGGAAGAGTGCCCAAACAAAGAAATATTTCTCATCACTATCTGGGAACTTGCTTTCAAGTTGTAGAAATTCAATACACATTTATTAAGTGCCTACTGTTTGCAGAGTACAATTCTAGGCCCTGGCCAAACTCAAATGTTTGTATTTGATCTCCTTACATTCTAGTACACAATAAAGCATTCTAAGGACATTTTTTTTTCTGTTCTTTATCTTTGAATATAAGGGTATAGAGTGCTCCCAGAGATGAAATTCATTCTACCAGTATAGCTCATCAACTCCTTGAGAATTATGAGTTATGTGAAGGTACTGAGAGGTTAAAAGACTTACACAAGGTGCTAGTATATACCAGAGGCCTTGATTGAGTACCCTAACTTCAATTTGCCCTAAAATAAAATCTTATTCAATTTAACATACATTTATTAACATTCTATTATGTTCAAGGTAATAGTGCCTTGATGGTAGACATATGAAGACATCACAAAAATAATCCTTGCTCTCAAGGAGCATTCATTTGACTGGGTTAAGTTTACAATTTATAAGAAAGTAAATAAATCATGTATTTATAAACACAAAGTAATTTCTAGAGAGTGAGAGGGTGCTTCTAGTTATTCGTAGAGGGATCATGCCTCATGTAGCACATGTTTCAGGAAGGATGATCTATGTTTAGAAGGAACAACAAAGAGGAGTTGAGAAGGGAGAGTAATCAACTTTCTGAAAGCCATGGTGTCAGAAACACTGAGTGTCCCATAGAGTGAATAACTAACAATCAAGTTGGACTAGAATGGAGAGTGTGTGAAGAGAAAAATTATGATTACAAATGGGAGGATAATCTAGATCCCACCTGCAGAGGGATCTAGAGGGCAGCTGAAGAGGAGAGGGTAAGTTTTGTCCTATAATGCTGTTTCACAATCGTCATGGAGACACTTTTCAAAAATCCACCAGCCACTAACATCATGGGACTGGGCTATCAGGGGACTGCTCACTGCACAGAGACTGAAGCCCAGAAGACTCTCTAGAGGCTGGGAGCCCATTGGGGCATGTAGAACCCTCCTGCTACATAAAGAGTTCCATCTAGAGCTGGAGAGCTCCTTAAGGCAAGTAAAGCCCTGCAGGTGCTGAGGAAGCTATTTGAAGGTAATCAGAATCCACTTGCTGCGATGATAAGCTACAATGGAGTTAATGCTATCTACAATCTGAGAGGGGAAATCACTCAGGGGATTGAAACATTGCCCTCTACCTCCCTCCCTGACTTGAGAGGGGAAAAGGTCCTCATCAAGAGAGCTGAGGAACTTTGAAGTTCTCTGAAGTGGTTTAGATTGGTTCAGCATCCATCCAAGGGATTAGACCTAGAAAGCTTCAGACTCCAGGCTTAGGGTTTCTGTTTCAGTGAAAGACTGTCAATAGATGCTTGACTAAAATAATTTAACATTAGTTCAGTAGCTATAGAGTAGCAGAGAAATAACAGTAGTAGAATAAAGTAGCAGTTTCATCCTGGAACAGAGAAACAAAGAAGAGAAGCAAATAAAGCATGGTCTACACTACTTCTTTAAAATGACCATATCATTAAGGACTATGATGAAGAGCCACAGATACCCTGTGATTAGATGGATTTTCTCATTCGTGTGTTTAACTGCTAGGTTTCTGTAAATGTATGCTCACTCTCTCCATGGACTCTGAGAGTTCTGGTGACTTTCAACCAGATTTGTGGGTGGACAGTTTTATTTTTAAATTTTCCTCACTTTTGCCTTCTGTTGAATAAAAAAGGATAATATTTTTATTGTTGTTTTGCCTTATTGATTAGCAAATGTTCATGTTTAGTAATTAAAGGCGCATCAGTGGCTGATTTGTTAAAATGGGGAATACACAAATCGGGGGTGAGGAGTTCTGGTGGAAAATTGTAGGAATGTATCCCCTCCCCCCACCCTTCACATCTGAGTTATGCTAATACCTGGGGAGTTGAGTACTAGCAGCTTGGCCACTTCTCTGGTGATATCATTAGTCTCTGTCAGCGTGGATACAGTCGGGGTAAGCAAAGCAGCCTCAGCTCAAGAATAGAGAGAGTTTAAAGAGAATTGAATGTGAAGGGCATCAGTGCTACACCCAGGCTATACAATTTACTTCTGAGTGTTGAAATATCCTCTTCCTGAAAGAAGAAAATAATGCTTTTTTCACCTATCAGCTCACAGTACATATAAGAGTTCTGCCTCTTTTAGAGAGATGTAGCTTAAATTTCTTAGCTTTAATCTGAAGAGGAGGTAGTTGAGGCTACAGTTCCTCTCCTAGGGAAGATATATTACCTCTTCTGAGAACTCCAGTAAAGCCAGAAGCTAGGAGTAGCAAGAAGGTCCAAAACCTGGCAGATAACCTCACCAGCTGGGGCCAGCAGAATACTGCCCAGAGGCTGTATTGCCAGAGGGTAGGGAGCAATTCTCAACAAAGACTACATTCTAAACATAGGTAGCTGGTAGACAATGAACTCAATGTGAGACCAGAAATGGTTATGGCCATTGGGAGCAGCACATTGACATTACCAAAAGACATACCAGAGCTTTATTGAGCATATAGGTGGTACAGTGGATAGAGAGATGGGCCTAGAGCCAAGAAAACACAGTTCAAATTCAACCTCAGACACTTCCTAGTTGTGTGGCCCTGGGCAAGTCACTTAACCTCTATTTGCCTCATGGATCACTGATGAAGAAAAGGATGCTTTGGAGAAGTGTTATACCAAAAAATTAGCGAGTTGACCCAGACTAGTTTAAATTGTGGACTTTATTATATTAGCGCTCGGCTGCCAGGGATATTCACATCCAAATCAAGCAGCCCCCATCAGGGGTTGAGCTAGGGTTTATATAGGGAGTATACAGGACAGGGAGGGGGGATGGATCTTTGAAGTCTGGCAAGAAGAAGAGGTTTTTTTGGGCTGGTCAAGGACACCCCTCTCCCTCTGTCTAGATATGATAATGCTCTGCAAACTTTCTCACAATGGAGGCTTCCAGAGATATGATCTGAGGGCTGTGGCCTGAGCAGCCAGATAAGGGTCTTGCTAAGGAATTTGGAGTTTTCCAGAGATATGACCTGAGGGCTGGAGCCTGAGCTATGCAAGAGTACATTTCACTATTGTTTAGATTTAGGAGGAAAGAGGTCTGGGGCAAGAGTAAGCAGCAACTTCTGTTTTCCATGGCCTAAAGGGCCCTACTACCTAAATGGTAAAATAATGTTCTGCATTACAGAAGGAGATGGCAAATCACTGAAATACCTTTGCCAAGACTACCCCATGGACAGATGGTCCACAGGATCATGAAGAGTCAGACACGACTGAACAACTAAACAACAACAAGAACAACAAAAAAGGTTTAAGGTTTACCAATCCCTGTGCATGTTATCTCATTTGATCCTTACAATACCTGGAAGAATAGGTACTAGCCTTGTCCTCATGTTAGAAATGAAGAAACTGAGAATGAGAGAGGTTAAGTAACTTGCCAAGGATCATAGAGCTCATAAATATCTGAAGCCAGATTTGAGCTCAGGTCTTCCTGACTCTACATCTAGCATTCTACTGCCCCACCTAACTGCATCATATTTCCAATATATTGGCTCTTCTAAATGTAAATGCTGGAATTGTTTCATTCTTTCCATCAATTGTGCATATTACTGAGTGAAGGCCAATGCCAAGTTTATGGTAAAAGATATTATTGCAATTATCAATTTTTAAAACAAAATCATATTGATATACTTTGGTTTTGCATTACAAAAATGTTATCATTTTCAATGTATCACTGTCCTCAGTCTTCTGACCCTATCACCACTTTGGGAGCTATCACTCATATTAAAGACTAATGCTTGTGATATTCCACACTCATAGAAACAAACTTCTGCAAGTAAATCTTCTTCTGAGTAAAGCTCACTTCTCATATCTCTTCTTTGCAGCCAAATTTGATTATTATAATTTTGTAACATTTACTTTCTTTTTGCTGTTATTATCATTCTTTCCGTTTACATAGCTTTACTCACTAAGTATATTATTTTTCTAGGTTCTGATTGCTTCACTTTCTGTTCTTGGCTTTTAGGTATTCGAATGATTCTTAAACAATATCTCCTTGATCTATGTTCTAGGTCAGTGGTTTTTCTTATCAGATATTTCATGTTTTCTTCAATTTTTCAGTCTATTGCTTTTTTATGAACTTTCTTTGGCCAATTCTAAAATTTAAGGAATTAGTGAAGAAGTAATTTCAGTAAGGTTTTTTTAACCTCTTTTACTAAGCTAATTAATTCTCTTTTTATTAGTTTATTGCATAGGTCTCATTTATTTTCTCATTTTTTCCCATTTTTCTCTATTGCTCTTTATTTTTTGAAGTCAAGTTTTGCTTTTATAAAAATTTGTTTCTTTAACTCTCCTAGAAATTCTTTTTGAGGTTGTGTCCGGTCTGCAATTCTCTTTCACGCTTTGCTTGTAGATGTTTTCAAGTCATTGTTTTCTGCATTTACGTCTTCAACTTCCTTGTCACCAAAGGAGCATTTTATGATTTGGTTCCTTTTTTTTAATC